CACAAGGCGAGCGCGCCGCTGACGCCTTTCCAATCAACTTCTATAGATTTCTGTGTAAACTCCATGACCCCGCCCCGCCGAGAGGACTTCTCAGGAAATTGAGACAGCGTAGGTACAAAGCCGCATAGCGCTGAAAGAAACGCTAGCTCTGTGATAACCGCCACGCACTTTTCCTCCGGTCAATTCAAGAGCCTTGACCATGATCCAAAAGGTTTCTAAGGTTCGCTGCGCAGCAATATCGAGTTCACGGTGATATTATCGTGACCTTCACCTTGATCCTCATGCTCCCATGATATCGTACCCTATGTTCTTGAGGTGGAGCTGTCTTCGACTTTTGCATTCCATCCAGGTGCTCCTTCATTCTGATGAGAAGAGGCTTGCCTGTTTCCTCAATATACTCCTCTTTACACCGAAGACATCATATCAAATATACATCAGCAGATGTCATGCAGTTTCCTTCCTTACCATATGGGCATATGACACACGAAGGCGTTGTGCATAGACGGTCATACGGCAATTTCGTACCAGTCGCAATGTTTGAGGGATATCCATAACTCTCATCATGTCCTGAAAACCTGCCTTTCTCATACATGATCGTATGGCCGCACTTAATTCGTCTGTTATGAATGGGACACGAAGAGGAACTTTTGCTTCCTGTTCCTCGTGGCGATTGAGTGCGGCCACCCTCCGCCTCTGTCGAAATGGGAGTCTGGAGGTTTTGTAGCCGTGCGCCTGTGCTATGCTGAGCGCCTGTTGTATCGACTCTGTTTTCTCTTTTCTCGAGGAACCTCATGAAACAGTGTGCAACATATGCTTATGACAGCCTTCTTAGTGCTAAATGGATGAGTGAACAGAAGTGGACTAGAACGTTTTCACTGGTAGGCTCACAATACCATTTAGTCCTGAAGGTACCTGCATTCACTCGAACTTGGACATCGAAGAAAGCGAGCCAATTCTCTATTGGTTTCTCCCATGTAAGCTTTGTACTTCCGATTGTCGGTTGAACAATTCGAACCAAGTGTTCATTTCCACCTGGATGGAGCGCACAGTAAAGCAATCGTCTATGCACCGACATTGTAAAATGAATGCCACTGTAGGTACTGGAACAAGCGTTTGCCTTATCGCTAGTCCTCTAATTTGCTGGTAATACTAGTCCGACCGTTTGAATACGTTGCACGATAGGCCCTCTCCAAGAAGTGTCATGGCCTGAGATATTGACAGGCCATATATTATAGATTAACCTGTTCACGTCAATGCGGATTTCGACGTGACGCCCATAGGATCACGCTCCCCTCCTTTCGCCCGCGACTGGCACTCACCGGTGGGTGGTACTCTATCAGGAAGAAATTCTTCCTTTGACATACTGAATTTTGCAATTGGTAAGAAACAAGAAAGTATGGTGGCACCCAAAATTGGGTGCCAATGTCCCATGCGCTAATCATAGTGGCACCCACCGGTGGGTGCCATTGTCGTCGAAGGTTTGACAAAGTTTCGATGTCCGTTTAGGATTTCACGTATTGCTTGCATAGCACAGTCGTTCGACACATTAGCGTGTAGCGAGATGACGCCAAAGGACTTCATTACGCTTTTCCCCTCTAACCTAGTACCACGAATTTTCATTAGCAGAGAGTTGGCGTTGGGAAGGTAAGCAGGGAGATACTTGAAAAGCTGTGCAAGTATCAAATTTGGGAACCATTAAATTCAATCCGTCGGGCCACCGACATTATTAGCAATAAGTCTAATTTTAAGTAATATGGGTTATCCACAGTTGCGCCTCCCGGGGGAATTTTATGTGTTGGCAACTCGTGCCACTTCTGCCCACTTCCCGTACACGCGCGACTATTTGGTGAATTCTTCAGATGTTACAGATTGGTAAACGATCCTGTCTTGTAAATGTGACCGAGTGACCACTCTCTCCACATCTTCAAAACCAAAAATTCTCCTTCTTTGTTGTCACACTGATCTTTATAGCCCCAACATCTGAGAGTTGTTTTAGCTCCTTTAAACTCCAACTTTGAGCTATGGTCAGGTTTCTTATCGCTGGTCCTGCGATATTACAACGCAGAATAGCAAACAACGAGCCCGAAAAGATTTGGAACTAGGGGCGGTTTGCCAGACCTGCTCACATTACTGCAACCCCCGAGCTGTCTGCTGCCCTACACCGATACCTGATTTTCAGGGTAACACAAAAGAGAGAACTTCTATCTTTCTCATGGGGTCCTGAACACTACGCGCAACATAGCTTTATAAACGAACCATATTTTATTTTCACCTATATCACCTGTCCCGTTTTTTATCAGTTTTCTCGAGCAGTCAATAACGTGTCCATTCGTCCATATCGCGAGCCAGAGTGGTCCTGTGAATTGTCTTTGCTTCAGGGACACGAGGCTCAGCATTCCCTTCGTTCAGAGCTTTCGTGAAGAAGTCTAACCATCGACAGTGTTGGTATTCATTCGACGTTTTGAGGGACTCAGTGTCGGTTTTCGTTAGGCTCCTACAGTCATCATAAAACGGCATTACGTATCCGACGCCTGCCTCCCCCTTCCCCTCCCAACCCCTGGTCTTGGCTTTTTTGGAGTAATCGACGGTGCAGCTAATCTTCGTTCGTTGACGGACCTCGTAACACAGAATTCCCTTCTGCACTTGCATATGTATCGGGGAATTCTGAGCATTCCCTTCCCAACAACGTGAAAAATGACGCTTACTGCATGCTCATCCTGCTTAGGTACAGAAAGCCTCCGAGGAGCATCTCGAAGCATATTGTCAATTAGGTGAGCGACGCTGTCCTCTGTCATCTTCACTATCTCGTCGATGTTCTTGAACTTCCTCCGATCAAAGAAGTTTATTGCTCACTCCAAAGTTGACTCGTTCATACATTGAACTTCGAGTCAGATAAACATAGAGCATTCAGAGGTGCGTCTGTACTAGACGTTCCATCGGAATGCATTGCGCTCCCACAAGCAAGGTTTTCGTTGGGTTATAGTCGCAAGGCTAGCCCTCCACAGGCGTCGTCAAATTCAGGAAGCATTCGTCTTGTTCACCTGATAAATGACACATGATGTTCTCAAGGGTCGCACTGAAAGTGATATTACAATGTCGACCCCCTTTTCCACAAAGACTTCTTTTAGAATGTCGCAATCCTAGCCGCAAAACTGTTACGAAGCTCACGAAGTGTCCTTGTCCACTAAATGCACTGGGTGGGTACAGGTACACTACTTACTCTTCCATGCTGGGTGTGGCACACAGTAGAAACAAGTTTTAAGCCTTAATTGCATTGTAGGCCTGACAAGACCACGTATTCATCCAGGGAAAAAATCTCGGAGAGCATTTTTGTCGTAGGCGCTTTCAGTTCCATCGAACCTTGGCATTGTACAATTCCTGATCGACCTAATTACATTTCAAAAGTCGGCTTCCGCGGGAACTGCTGCTCTTCTCTCTCTTAGGTCTTCTTTATTGCTTCCCTGAACAACTTCACAGATTTTTACGTCAACTGCTGATTGCCTGCTTCTTGCGTGATTCCGCCCTGGCTTATCAGCTCGAGAGTCTTGTAGGAGAGGCATCACTAAACAACGTGCAGACCCTCTGCTCTACTGGCATTATCGTGCAGATGATTGCCGAGGTGGTAGTAATCGTCGGCATAGCTATAACAGAATTTTCCAATAATTTCCACGGAAGGCGAAACGATCTCATGAGCGACGGTCTCAAGAGCCCGCTTATTCTACTTCACAGTGCTCTGTCAATGATTGAGAAACACACCCTAGCGCAGAGGAGACGATTCCGTGTAGAACTTTGGCATCAACTGTGTAAGTCAGGCAAGACTCTCGATCGAGAATGATGTGATCTATTTCTTAATAGATAATATAAATCTAACCGATAAGAGACAAAGCATTCATCCATTTGATTTGCATGCCTTACTGAGCCACTATCCACTCCCCTACCTGCCGTCTGGGCTTGCGCCGTCTAGCCCCATCGCCAACCGTCTTTAAGTCAATCAGCAGACCGGTATTGCATATCGCGGACTTTTGTTTACAGTCGCTAATTGAAACAGCCATGAAATTCCTACACACCACAAACTGCAGTCGGTTATACACTGTATCGCTTTCTTTGCAAGCTTCTTGAATTTAGACAGTACATCCGTCCAGACCGCAGAGTTACTGTAGGGACAAAAGACGTACAATCACTCGCACATGGAGCGTGGTTAGAGTCTCGGGTAGGGAGTCGCCTGAGCCATAATCTTCCATCCCTTATAGGTAGGCGCCAGACTCGTTGGGAAGGATAAAAGCAGTGGCTTGTAAATCAGCTGGCGATCGCAAGTCTTGTATGCACCTACATGTTTAAGACGCTGCTACGATTCTGAATGAAACTCGAATGATGGGGCGCACACTGAAAGGGGATTTCCATAGCCAAAACTTTGTCTTTCATTGTTCACCACGCTTCAACATTCTTCAGTTCGAGAGTATGTCATGAAATCTAGTTGCACAAATTGAAGCTTGCTTTGATTCTAAAGTGCCTTCTTGTTGATGTTAAGGTGACTAGTTGAGTTTCAGGCGTAACTCAATGCCTGCTCGCCTTTCATTCGTGATCTCCGAATTAAAAACTGTAACTTATGCCAAGATTTTTCAAAAAAGGTCTTTTCAACTGTTGTGAAATTTTGCCTCTGCTGATGCTTTGAATGTGAAGCATCCATGATATTCGTTTGAACCGCCTACTGCGAGCATAACGGTCATAAGAAATAGTAAGTGAAGAAGGTCTATGAACTTCATTATGTTCAACAGATTGTGGCCACTTTGTTATTCCAGCAATTTTCGTTTACGTTTGTGGAACTCTATCAGTCCCTTCTCAAGGATGCATAGTACCAGTCAGAAAAAAATGCACTGCCTAGACACATTCCGCTGGTTAATAGACCTTTTGATTTCATTTCTGAAAAGAATCTCCAGAGGGTAAATAATGAAGTAAAATCTCGAGAGTGGACTGTTTGAATAATAAGGCATTTCAGTGAAATGGCGAAGTTTGAGGAGGGGACTGAGAGCGAAATCGCACATTACTATAACGACATTGAGACTATGAGGCTTGTGAACGCAATGGCGAATATAATTGGTTTGATATCCAGATGTTTTCTTCTGTATTCAAGACTAATATTACTATAATAGTATACCAATAGTTCCCAACATTTTAGGAATCCCTGTAGAGGAGGTATGGGAGGCTTATGGTGGCTTCCTCATCCAATTCACTATGGAAACAGGATGGGATGAGCTGTTGAGAGCTATGGCAAGAGATTTGGAAGTAAGTCTATGTTCTTGCGAGTCAACGAATGTAAAAATCAAAATAAATCAAGATTCATTCACAGGATCAAAATTATTTTCTCAAATCTTTCACCGCAGCTTCAGGGCCTTGTCTATTCAGACGTCGTCAAAGCATTTCTTGATAAACAAGGAACTGAATTGTGAACACTGCACCAAGAAGCATTTACATCTACGCAAAACTGAGAGCTGACCTGGAACTGACTTAGTAGGAGTGTCTAATAGGGACTAGGTAAAGGATCCCGCCGATGAAGGGTACTATATTTCTGCATCTCGAATGATGTTCGCAAAAACACTTCCTTCTGCAGCAAACGTATCACCTGTGCCTGATACTTTTATCCTTGAACGCCCTCTCCTTCTCTTTTCGAATTGCTAGTATGGTATCGAATTACATGATCGTTTTTTGATGATATGTGTGGTGGAACACTGTAATACTTGACAGTTTCATTAAAAACCATGCCATTCGAAACGCCTCGAAAGCTAGTCATGATTGTACCAAAGTGGCAGCTGCAACGCACGCTAACTGGCAGAGGACAGAGCTTGCACCCTGGCAGCAGGTTCCAACATCATTGTTGTTGCTTTGGATGTGCTCAGAATGCTTCGGCGCTCTATTTCTAAAGTTCCGCTTCAACAACCTTACATACACACATACATACATACATACATACATACATACATACATACATACATACATACATACATACACACTGAACTTGTAGATTAAAAATAGTATATAGTATAGCCTTTCGTAACAGCTCAGCTTGTGAGCAAATCACGTATGTAGTGATACGCTATAACAAAGAAAACACTGCACTAAATGCTGACCAGGCAATTACCTTAACATTATAATCGACCTAATATATTTTAAAATAATGCCTTAAAATCCTTTTGCATCCCTCTCATTGAGAGAACGCTTTTGCTTCTTTCAACTTCGAATAGAAAAAGTGAATCTTACTAATCAAGTTCACCGCTCGAGCCTTTTCTCACGCTTCCGGACATTCTAGTTTTTACCTGAAATACTTGCATGTGCTTTTATTATTTGCTTGTGAAATACAGATACTCAGCATAGGTCTCCAAGATACCCTCGAATATACAATACCACACATTTCCAAGTAGAATGCACTCGTGTGGCTGTGGCAGGATATGGCATTACGGACCCATTGAATTCAAAGGCAATCGATAACGAGGATAAAGGTTATTGGCTTCTTTACTGACTGAGAGGCGGACATTTGAGAAGTAGTGACTACCCCTTAGAATGATTGTTCACAGATCTTGATAGAATTCTGAACTGTTGTAACGTCTGTTTTTTAAAGCACGATCAAAAAATTAAGTTCTGCAGGTTTCAGACAGGGAATGACCCTGCAATTTACTGCGAAAGACAATTTCAATAGGAAATTCTTTTTTGCTGGTAAATTCGATGATCATCGGAAAATAACTAAACTCTGCATTTTACCTGAATTTCGATCCAATATAAACTAAATTTACCTTTGACTGCTCGCCTCTCAAAGGTATTGAGATGGTCGTCAAGATGAGCTGCAATTCAAGTGAGCAATGGTGAATCGGCTTTCTTCAATCGCCGCGCATTCCGAGAGAAAGTCATAAAGACTTGTTTTCCACCTGTAATTCGCGAAACTTTTCAGAGAGAGTGTGAAAATGATAGGGAAATCTCGACATCATCAAATGGAAAAAAAGTTTCACAACCAAGGTGTTGACAGAACTTCTTCGACAACTTTCTTGAATGAATGTGCAAAAATCATTTCCGTATGATAGTTTTTATGTTGAAACACGGTGGCCCGAAATTATCGTTACAAAACTTCAATCGAGTAGCATTATGTAAGGTCCTTCCTTACGACTTTGATACCACATCGAATAGGGGAGGCTCCAGTTACGACTGTCCGACGAAGCACAGTAATTTACAAGTTCATTGTAACAGAAAAAACACGAGCATTATAACAAAGAACAGTCGGGAAGCAAAAACATCCAACAAAAAGTCCATTCGGTGGGTCGAGCACAGAGAGGACCGAGAGGAGGTCCAGCTGTGAAATAACTTTCCACTTAAGCCTTCCTTGCAATCCTGATCATACTTGTATCACGAACCACTGAGATTCGTCCCACCAGCACTTGCTGAGGGTGCTAGAATCGTTGGAAGAGTCCCAGGGCACTGATTCACAGACTCCTTGGGGGTAGGCGGTTGGCGGCGGGAGGCGAATAGCTAATGGCGACCTCTTCTTCTCAAAGGTTTCCTTCTTTAGAGTTCTTTCCGCGCCTGCTTTTTCTTCAGGCATGTTCAAAACTGGGACTCCCTCCCGCCTGATCACAAGATCACCTACACTCACTTGATCATCAACACCCTTTGGTGTGTTGATCTTCAAGGCCATTTGTAATTTGGTGAGACCCCACCTGTGCGCTTCTCTCTGTCCCGCACTGATCACTACACATTGAAACCGATATACTGTGAAGCTGACGTAATATTGTTGAAAAGTGATATTATTTCATCAATTTCATCGAAATCCGGCCAGTCAGTCCTCGATGGTACGCTGGTACGCTCTAATCCTATGCATGGCACCATTGTGCACTTACACGACGCTCACAAAACCTCATCCTTTATCGCGAAGAAGCTCTTCGCTTGCCGCGAAACCGTTTATAGGACCCTCAATAGGTACTATGAGACTTGTAATACTGCCGACCGTCCTCAATCTTGAAGACCACGCACCGTAACGATTTCTGCTGAACGAAGAGCCATCAAGAAGCCTGAGGATAGAAAACCTCGTGCAGCATGCTAACAAAGGCTAAAGAGCTCAAGATCTTGCTACAATCTATCGGGATGTTGGATATTGACCACCTTGGGCTCCATCCTTACGAGATCAAAAAATGCTGTGGCTTTACGGAGAAGAATAAAGCCGCCCAGCTCGCAAGATGCCGGGCCTTGCTTGCGCGGACGGTTGTCGGGTAGCACCTTGTGACCGTCTTCTCCGACGAGAAGCTCTTCATCTTTGAGGCAGCGGCGAATGCATTAAATACGCGGGTGCTGGTCTGATCCCGTAAACAGGGCGATTTCAGGGGAAGTTTTTTTTTCAAACCTCTCACTCTGCCAGCGCGATGGAATAGGCCCTAGTGTGCGCCAGTAGGAAAACTGTTCGTTATCTCTGCGATCGGCACTGACCACTACATCGAGCACTTCTTGGAGGGGGAGCTAATGCCTTAAAGCTCATTTCAGGAACGAGCACTGTGTCTTCCAACAAGATTCTGCACAGCAGTCGCGGAGGATCCAGACCTGGTGAGCGGCCAAGCTGCCGGCCTTCATCCTTGCCTATGCGGTGTGGTCAGTGCTGGAGCAGAAGTTTGTTCCACATGCCCCGGAAGTGTTCACTCGCTCAACTCGGCTCTGAAGAAGGCGTGGGATGAAACCGAAGTCAAATATCTGCGGTCCGTCTTTAGACTCGCACCCAAGGTCCGAAGGCCGTCGTGGAGTCAAAGGAGATCACACCGAGGATTCACTCTCAACTTAATCCACATCGGTCGTGATAAACTATTTGCCAGTTTGCCAATAGTGATCGAGGATCAAGGGTTGATTAAGTCAAAAAGAAAGCGATTCAGCCACTTATCAAAATGTACCAAGGATGTTTAAAGAAACTGCGATTCTACAATAACCACTACCTGTTCACCTGCCTTTCTTTAAATATCTTATTCCACTCTATTCTTCGAGTACATAATCTGCATGCAGCATTCAAACATTTTTATTGGTTTGTATCAGATGTATCGAGCTCATTAGACTCAAGGTCACTAGATTTCCATGAAATCGGTGAGGAAAGGAAACGGGAATCGGAAGGAAAAGAGTTATCCAGAACACTTTCTCGTTTAAAATTTTTGAAACTCCATCTGAAGGATAGCAAAACGATCACAACTCTATGGCCTTTCAGAATATGTTTTGTTTCACATACACTTCGACCGTTTTCTCTCTTGAGGTCTCTCCTTGAAGGATCTCTAACGGGTTGATGACAGGCTACATGGCATGACCCCAGGGAGCTTATTCAGGGGACTGAATTGCAGACAAAAATTCACCAGTGCTCGCCCAAAGACGTAGGTGAATTTGTACCTTCTGCCTTCTTGTAAGCTTATTATGCATTAACCTGTGAATAGCCTGTTTGCACGGTCACTATCCTGCAGTCTGAAACTCACACGAAGCTCGAGTGAATTGGAATTAGCCAGGCAGCAAATTGATAAATAAGCTCTTTGTCCCTTTCAGAATAGTCGGGCTAGACATTCCAAGTCTACCCAGCCTTCACGACAGAACCCTGCAAAGTACTTGTGGGTGACCACGGGAAGTAAGTGATTCAGAGTGTTCCAAAAATATGGGCGCAAAAATCCAGAAACTTCTAAGGCAGAATTAATTTGATAACATTCCTTCATCTGCTACTGATGAGTTGCACAAACCTTTAATTGTAATACCCACAGCTAGTGAGATTTCCAATATACAGGGTGCGTCATAGGTATGGTGACAACATTGAAGACCTCCCTAATTTCCTCGTTTGGTGGGTTGTTCTGAATCTGCATCTTCCCTTATTTTTATGATTTACCTTAGCCCACATATCCATTCTGGTGCTCTCAATTCGTCAGATTTCGAAAAATGGTAGAGTCCCCGTCCACAGGCCATCCCGTCTTTGAGCGCATTTGGTGAGTCCTTTTCCGGGATCGCCTCTCCTTTCAATATTTTCCACATGACAGCCTCTTGACTCGCGATGTGTAGACAATTCAACGACAAACTTCAAAACGGTCGCCTTGCCTCACATACGACCCCTTTTTTGAAAACAGTTGCCTGGAAAGGAGTAAAATTCTTCTCCCGTTTCTGCGAACCTGCAGAAACGGGAGAAGAATGACTGCTGATTCGTTTGTATGTTCTACTCCGGTAAGAATATTTTACCCCGAATAAATATAAATGTATCCACGTAGGAATCGACAGCCTTATAATCTTCATAACGAGAAGAAGTTGGGGGAAAGTCAGTGCCGTGCACTTTTTGCGAACGGCATGCGCTTCGTCCCACTTCTTTTCTGAGTATAGGGTGTTCAGCCTGGAAATGTTGAGATCTCAGTATAGTATACGAGTATACGAATGTTTAACACCACTAGCGCTGAAGCCACTGAAAAAAGTCAGATTACCTGTATCAGCCATTTTCCCTCTTTCATGATGAATCTCCATCATCAGAGCGATAGTACGATTTGAAAACTACGGCGCACTTGCTCACAAGTGGGGAAAGATCAAGACTGGTGCTGACGCAATGTTCGCAACTTTATCCCAGCTTCCAATCCTCCTACAAATTTCCCGGACTGCAATGTGAGTGCAATGGGTCGGTGGATATAGTCCATACTGGAAAGGAAAGCCTCCGCTTCGAAACGCACCACTGTTGCTGCTCCAAAGAAATAATCGGAAAAAGCCCGGGATGGAGTTTCTCACAAAACTCTGCGAGTCACCGTCGACGAGTACCCAAAGGGTCCTGGAGCTATGATTAATATAGGAGACGATTATATACGATCACTGGGTGTTCGCTTTGTAGACGCGATGCATAGAAAATAACTCACCATGTATCAATACGAACTGCGGTTTTTGTAGCCCAGTTCTTTTGTGACCATATCTATGACGCACCCTGTACATCAGAATGTGAAGGCTCATTTAATGTCATTTGCTAGCAATTGCATGCATGAGGTTTGAGGGCATAGTAAAACTTTTTTTGAACACGATAATGACTTTACAAAAGGCCATTAAAAGATACAGAAAGACAGAATCAATCAAAGACGAAGTCTGAAGGTGTGGAAGGCCGGTGTCTTTAGATTGTTAACTCTCTCGAGCTTGGACACACAATCCTTCATTGTTTGTTTTGTCGAGGAAATCTTCGCAACAAAGCCAATCTTCAACAAATAAAACTATTGCGTTTTAACTAAAAACATCGAACGTGCAATCTCTCATGAAAAAGTTGTTATAAGAATGGCAAAATGATACCTAAGATCAAGAGAGCCACTGACAATGGTAAGACGCCATTTGTTCCGTCGGTGCCGCCGTAAAATTTAACTAAGATGTGTTCTTCGAATAAGTACTGCAATTTATCTTGCCAAACTTATTAGCTTTTGTTCACTTCTTTTCACTACGGGTTTATGGAGTCAAAGAGGAATTCAAGAAATATTTGTCGACTCACCGATTTGAACTGATGTGTTGTGTAACTGTCTGATCATGCACAGCTTCGTTTCAACGTATAGTGTCCCAACTACAAGTTAGTTGAAGTGGTACAGTGAGATACAGCTCTGAGTACAGCCATCAAAAATGGTCAACCGAATTTGATCTGCGTCTATTTGCACTACTTGAAATAGAGCTTTCAAATACTTATTTTTCGAGCTGTAAGGAAAAGAGAAAATGGAAGGGCTCATAAGGGAAGGATCCTAAATCGAAGTGACCGTTTGAAATGAGACTTACATGCTGTACGTATTTTGTGGTGCTGGTTTCAAATCCGCACCTGCCAACCCTAACAAAATTATGAAGGTGGTTTCTGGAGTGCGCTCGATATGGACTAGCACAAAAGACATGGTCGCACCTAGATTTGTAGTGGCGGTCTGAAGTAGTGGTGAGCGTGGCGCCTGATAGGCACGGACCAAAGATTCGGTGAGTGACGGGGCTGTTGCACTCCGCAGGACTTTCTCCTCGAGGTTGAAAAAACCTTGTACGTTAGCTTTACCGCTTTTGGCGATTTCTTGAATGCTCATGGTAAATCGGATCCTGCCCAAACTGTCTCCTTCACAGCAATGATATCGATTAGTTTTCAAAGGTGAGGATTGGTGTCAATTTTTATAAAGTAAGGGTTATCTAGTGGCAGTCGCGGCAAGTAGGGCATATATGGATGGATGTGACAGTATAGAACAAAGTGTATACTCTGCCTCGAGTTTTAGTGTCGCACCTGTTGGAGAACTTCTGTTTCTGTGATGTGAAATGCGCCCCTACAAGGAAGAAGAGAGAGTTAATAGACAGTTTTTCCCTCTATCTCGCAAAATGCTGTCTACGAAGACTTCGATATTGAGTGCGAAGAAGATTGTGCGATTGAAGACGAGAAGGCTGATCCACTGCATCCCGATGGTTAAAGAGGAAAAGCAAGCACATTTAAAGGGTCGTTGATGTTTGGTAATGTGGAGTTGACTGAAGAGCAGGTACAGGTGCTCCGTTCCAAAACATTTATTCCGGCGACATAATCGAAACCAATCAAGGTGTAGAATACCATCAGATTCTATAGTTCAAGAGCAAAATTATGCCATTGGCTATCGAGAAGGGATTTATAGCAGCGGAATGTCCCTATGACCTTATAAGATAGGTTATATTCGTGAGTGTCGTTCGACTGTTGTACGAAAGATGGCGTACGTCTTGAGAGAGGAAGTTACGCTGAGGCTCGACCAAAGATCGACGTTGCATGATTGTGATGTGCGCCAAATGGCTCTGAGAATCAAAAAGGAAAGAACGTTAGTTGCGACTTTCAAAGCAAGACACCGGTGGATTGAAGATTCTAAAAAAGGTGCAGATTGGTTACAAAAGATTCTGAAAATGATGCGGATTGATTTTAAATCTTCTGCTATGAGGGCTCTAGGTAAAGTTCCTAGAGAGAGACCGTAATTTCGCGATGCTCAAAACTTTAAGCAAAGTTGAGACGCCCCCCGATTTTGTTGTTCTAAGCGTTACGTTGGATGTAGAAATGGAAGGATGGCCATAAAGTGCAGTGTGTAACGCGGATCAGCATGAGCGTCGATTCTTGAGAGAAATGCACGCTTTACGATCCTAAGTTTTGAAAAGCGCGAAGAAAGCACAGAAGGTCGCCAATTCGGCATACGCTACCATTCACTCCTTCGCAGTTATACCTTGCCCACTCGCCGATGCCACCTAAGTCGAATGCTCATCGTGATGATCCAGGTCTGTTACGGAACTGCTCTGCGTTACCCTTCGTTTTCCACACAAACTTGATAGGAACCCACTGACTTTTCCCAGAAAGGAAATCTCCCATGCTCGGAGTTCGAAGGTCATGGGATCAAAACGCATATGATGACCAAGACCTTGATGTCAGAGCGTCTCTGTCGTGGCGGCCGCTCCGAAAGATCAATCTTGCTGGCATTTGACTCTTGGACATCCCTCGAAGATAATGAAGCTGTCCAGCCGGAACTACCTTCACAAAACCAGTTAAGGTGGATGATGAACATACAAGTGAAACTACGAAGTTGATACATACACTAAACGTTTAATCCTTCTTCCCATTAGAAAATATGTATCACTTCATCGCCTGTATCACCTGTTGTCCCGCTGATCATCGAATTCCTTGAGCGGCTGCCAATAATGTTTCAATTCGTCCATGTCACGAAACAGAGCGGTCCAATGAATTGTCCCCACTTCAGGGACACGAAGCTCAGCATTCCTTTCGTTCAGAGCTTTCGTGAAGAAGTCTGACATTGAGTTGGCGGCCGTAATGGCGTCCGCTTGACGTCCCGAGGGATCCAGTCAGTAACCGCCCGGTCCAACAGACATCACTATATCGCATAACGTGTATGGCCCCCCTGATCTTCGACTTCTTGCCGTAATAAATCTCATCCCTGATCTTTGTCCGTTGACGGAGCTCGGGACTATGGCGCGACACCATTTCGCCAAAGCTCGTGGAATTCGTGTGGTTGGACGGTTCCTCTCAAGTTCCCGCTTTGCGGGCGACATTGTTTTCTTTTCGAACAGCATTACGGAAGCTTAGGCTATGCTTGCTGAGCTCAATAAAGCAGGAAAGAAGGTAGAGCTGTGGATCAACCAAACAAAGAAACAGTTCATGAAGAATGTTTGGGCCAGCAAAGGTCAAATTAAGATAGATGGTAACCTCGTCCTACGTGTAGGGGAAAACTACGACATGAGGGGAAAACTGGTGAGACGGCAGAAAGCAGCGTGAGCCGCCTTCGGATTCCTGAAAGAGGTTACTAACCGTCTGACCGACCCGGATCTTAGCGCTAATCTGTTCGCTTCCATTAATCTTCCGGCGCTCTGTTACGGGTCGAAGACTTGGGTGACTGGTGCATTCACGCCAAGGGCTTTGAGCACAAGTCACAGAGCGCTCGGCGCGATGTCTTCCTAAGTTCGATCGACTCACCCAATATCGAACCGGACTCCGAAGCTCCGATATGCGGAGAATGTCTCGACTCCGCGGTCCGGTGGAGTACATGAAGAACGCAAAATTTCACTGGGCCGGTCATTTAATGAGGAGAGATGATGACAGATGGACAAAAGGGACAGTCGAATGGGCTCCCGTCGGTTCTTCGCGATCTGATTGTAGGCCTGCTGCGAGATGGGGGATGTGCTTGTTGATCACGTGAAACAGCTGCGAGAGCAGCTGAGCGACTCCTCCCATCGTCATCTTCGTCGAATTCTGAGTCTACCGTGGATGGCGATCGCGGAAGACAGAAGCGAATGGTTCGATGCTGGTGCTCGCACATGAGTGATGACGAGCCGTATAAGTATAAGTATAAGCGTAAGTCTTATGGATGACTCATGTGAAAAGTTTATATTAGGTCGATGAATGATTATTGTGGATTTTTTTCAGCAAATGTTACCTGAAGAAACGATAAAAATATCTAGCAAAGACATGTTCAAATAATTGCTCCTTGACATATCCACCATCTGCGTCAAGCGCGGCTTTCCATTTGCTGAGAGGTCGAATTCCACAGGCGAAGAAGTTTCGATTGTTGGAGGCGATCACGCCTTGACATTGGTCATCAAACCATCCACTTCGTCGAGAGTTCTGTTCTTTAACCAAATTTTCGACGGGCCCACAACGTGATAACCCAGGAGTTTCTATTGGTGAGCAGGGCGATCCTAGAAGCGAATTCCATTCCTTATCCGGCTTTGGCTGACTGTTCCATCGCCGACAAGTTCTTTGAGATCACGTTATGAGTGTGCCGCCTTCCAACATTTCTCGAAGTAATAGAGCATAATGTGACGTAGATGAAAATGACTTTCTAGATATATTTCTGTTAAGAAAAGCGAGAAGATTATTTCTACAAAAATTCCTAATCCAAAAGTTCAATTTTATCGAGAGAAAAGAAGCTGCGAAAAAATCCGCAATAATTATGCATCAACATGATAGATTACACACAGCAGACAAATTGGGCGATATTTGCCAGCACAGCAACACAGTCTTGCTAGTTTTCCACAAAGTGGCCACTTTGCGTTCCGACAGGTACCGCGTAAAGAGCTTAGCCGTAGTTCTGACGATCAATGGTGGGAATCTCTTCAGATGTTCTGGTTTGATCCTGATGGAACCGGCTCCGTAGCATCTTCATCGACGTGATGGTAGGTCGAATTTCGAGAAAGGGAACCGAAGGAGCGATACGTTTTCTTGAGCTGGATTCACTCTCGGTGCTATCCAGGCGGTCGCGAAGTGGACGAGGAGCTTTGCTTTTGGAGACGGCCCCGAATTGCCTCCCAGATACTCCCCAGTCACAGCAGAATCAAGGAGCCCACTCTGAATCCACCTGCGTCTCTGGGCAAGTACTAGTGACTCTTGGTCGGCCATTTAGTCCCTTATCCCACCTGGGGAAGTCCTACGTGACCTCGTCGCCTATAGTGAAAGAGAACTCTCAGTGAAGGAGATCCGTAGGATTTAACCTCATACTAGTTCATAATCGTAACTTTTGGTGTATATCTGCGATTCAATACTCCGGTTACAGTCGCTTGTGTATTTCCAAGGATCAAAGAGTTTCTTTCCTACTCATGGCAACTACCGGTTTTTTGAGTACACATTCAAGCAATTTCGAAACGCCTTCACAATTTTACTTTCCATCTGGTCTGACAAGTGATTGTGAGGGAACATCCTACAAGTTGCTGAAGGTGGTAGAACCAACATATAGAGATCTTCCCAACCTCGAAGATATAAATCTGCGAAATGAAAAATCAGGCTATTCATGAAACCCTTGTACTTTGACTCGTCCCATGAAGCTTTACGCTTATCGGTACTTCATGCCGCCAGTACGACTCTGACCACGACCATGTGCTTGTCCACGTCGAGCGTACTGCGAAGACTACCTTCACAACTTTCAGAGAATACTTTGGCAGGTTTGGAATGCAGATTCATAATCACCTTCAAAAGCACGTCTAGCAATCTCGTCTAGTCTCATTTCAAATGGCTGTATCGACTCAAGATCCTTTCCTTGTTAGTGAGGCATCTCAAATAATATTCATCGAACCAAATGGTGCTACCTTTCTCCTACTGTTTGTTCTGGTGAGAAGACCCTTATTGGCCCTTGTCATGGCGAGTACAGGTACACACATATCCAGTTTTTAGTTTGCTTCAGTTGTTCGCTTAATTTTCACGCGGAGACACAACTACGTCCTCATATATTGGAGTCGAAACCTGCGGATTTACCCTCAGCTCAAATCCTCTACTTCAGTAGGAATCGTAGTTACTACTGTTCAAAAAATAGGAAACCGGTCGTCTATCACCTGCTGTACCGTTCATTACCGAGTTCCGAAAAGGAAGAGGGGATGGGCAGGCGTTAATGAGCTTTTATTGAATACAAAAAGAGGAGAGCTGGGATAAGGTAGGCGAGCCGATGGATGGCAAGGCATGTTTGGAAAACTAGCAGCAATTACTATTTTGGTATTTTTCATGTCACAGTTTCTTTGAACTCAGCCAAAAACTGTGGCCCACTTGGACGATTTACCCAAAATTCAGATAACGAGCAATATTTTGCACTAAATGACTTGGAAGCTAGTCTGGTATTGATGAGTTCTTATCCTTTAACAATTTCAGGGATTTTTGGATTCTCTGGACTCCTTGCATTATTTTATCGATCACGTGGTATACCAGACTAAGCTGCGTGGACCATCGTTTCGGTGCGAGCCTCAACCGGATGGAACTCTGCTTCTGCATTACTACTCGAAGAGGAGCGGTCTCTATCCTATTGTCAAAGGTTCACCAGAGAATACCTCATTATTTTGAAAATTCGATAAAAAAATCTTGATAACCAGGTGTGGTCCGCGAAGTTGCGCGCCGTATTTACGACACAGAAGTTGTCATGAAAGTACAGGAGAGGAAGCAGGAACATCTAGGTTAGGTGATACTCGTTAACACTTATAATTACCCGTATCGATTGAACGATTTTGACGAAGAGCGCAAAGAACAACGCATATATATTTATATAATATATATAGATGTATCAAAAATCTAAAGATTTGAGCTACGGAAAAGTTAAGTCTCGACAGTCAATGGTCGATAAGCGAAAAAATATGTTTTCGAGCAATTTTCGGCGTTGAAATTTAGGCGCAGACTACGATACTCTTTTAGCCTTTTGCACCATATTCGAGCTCATGTAAACGAAAAGTAAAAGTGGTAATTATATTGCTGCAGTGAGGACTAACAGCAAAAGATTTTCGACAGTGAAAAGCTCCAAGTTCCTAAGGCTCTAGCCCATGTGCGAGTGATGCCGTCAAATTGTTACGCTGAGGAGGAATTTGATGAGGCGCTCACCACACTTCTGGTTCCTTTCGTTGTGTCTCCGTTATTGTGTTACTGCTATTCCTTGTGAAAGTACGGACATGCACTTTCGAAACTAAACCCTGGAAGGGAATGAGCACCACGCACGAGGAAGTCGTCTCATCCACCCGGAGATTCCTACCCTCCTAAAGCTTATTTGAAAAACTCTCCTCACATGGGGCTACAGCACCATGAAAGCAAACAGATGGTCGGTGCCCATTCTCCTCTTCAACACCGATACAATGTATTATAACAAGGATTAACCCGTAACAACGTGTTAATTTCTTATTATGCTTTTTCTGTTATGTGCTACCTCCCCTTGATACATTTTTACGTTCTTATTATTTTTAGCTACCACTGTCCCAGTCATTATCGAAGAATTTAACTTCTTTACCCATGAGCACTGTTGCCATCATAAAATCTCCTAGTAAAAAGAACTGCGTTATCACGATGAGCGAGCAAAGAATCTAAAGTTTAAAATTTCCTGTCTTTCCTGCGTCCTGTCATCTTTCGAAAAAATGCCGCTGTTATCCGAAACCATACTTCCGGTCCACTTCTTCTTATTCTTCTTCTTTTTTCACCTTAATCTTCATCACCATCTCCATCATCGTTTTCATACACAGCGTTTTTTCGTCCCATCAGAGGCTTTTGAAGCCTTTCCTGACAGTAAACCCCTTATTTCAGATATCATCTACGCACTGTCGCACTTATTTAGGACAGTCTCATTTCTTTTCTTTTTTGTGTCTTTGCTGTTCTTTCTGTAATAAAGTGCTCGTCAGGATTCGATCATCAACATACATACATACATAACGTACATACACAATCATAATTGGCTCTGCACACCTTCAGGCACAACCTCCTCGATGGTGTCGATAACGCAGAAAGACAACCGCGAGTTCTTGATAAGGGAGTTCCCTGATCATGCCTGCTCATGAATAGGGAGATTTCCATCTGATCGACACTGACCTCCTTGGTCATTTTATGTGTTGTGCCCATTTTAGGCTGCTCGTTATTTGATATGCTAGTGGTAAAAGGGAGGGTATATGATGAAACTCTGGACGCCATCGTCACTACTGATGGGATTCCTTTTGTTTATTGTTGTAGAGGACCAGCATGTGTGACGTGTGCAGTAGAGTACGACATGATTGCTTGGCACATGAATGGTGTACCAAAATTATGGGCTCCTATTCATTGCAATCTATTTCAAGCTTCGGAGCTGAAGATGAAAACGGAATTTGTGTACGAATCGCTTACATTATATGCAACAACAAGTTACTATCAGCCTTCGACATATCTACCATCAGCAGATTAGAGACTTTTAATTTTTCTCAAATTCCTCTGTGCTGCGCGCAAGTATCCCTTCTGCATTTCCTTCCAGCCGTTTTTGAGTCTTGCACTCGAAGATTCCAAACTCTTCATTATCTCTTCTAATCAGGGACCATACGGAGTAGTCAGGTGGCTTAGTATGTGGTAAGTAGCATGGCCATTTTCCATGCTAATGAAGCAGGGCAGATCGCGCCGGCATCACTCTTGACCGAATTTGGATCTATGGACTGGAGTGCCTCCCTTCTGGAAGAACCACGGGCTGTTTCAGGGAGCGGAATCGGATCAATGCTACAGTACGTTTATCAGTATGCTCTATGAGAACACGTCATATTTAATTCTCACGCCTGCACCGACTGAACCGACGGCGTCTTACCATTGGCCCTGACTACCTCGATAAACATCGTTTGATCTGATCTTATAACAACTAGAGATTGCACTATCGATGTTTCATCTGGAACGTCATCGCTCCATTGAGGATTGCTTTTGTCGTAGAAAAATTTCACTTCAGAGAGAACGATGAAGGTATGCGTGTCCCTATTAAAGGCTTGGTTCACGACAACTTCGGGTTATGCAGATTATGACGATAAACGAAAGCGAAGGTGGAGACTAGTACGATGGGAGAGCTAGGATCTCAAAAATCGGTGGCTCCAAAAAGATGAAAAGTTCCAAAAAAAGTCCTCAAAAGCGGGGCTGGACGAGAATAGGATTAGGAAAATGGCGTAGAAGAGGTGTTTGGGCGAGCTATACAATGTGTGTCATTGCAGCTGACTGCAGAAAGCGAAACATTTAGAATCACTAGCATAAATCAACAAACGCACAATTAACAACCGAAATAACTCACTTTTCACTTTTAATGTGCTGAATGTGTGGTTTCTGGTGCAGCTCGTATGGGTTCTCGACACTCGTCCGACATATTATCGGTCGATGGGTGTGGATGTCGAAGAAGCCGGTAATGTGCTGATATTGCCTCCTGTCTACAAAGTTTTTCCTTCTGACAGCGTCTTTCGTTTCACCCTTGAGGGTCACTCGGTAGGAGAAAACCTCCTAGAAGGAAATTGTAGAGACCATTTCCATCGTGATATGTGCCTTTGATTGATTATTTGAACTACACTCGTGAGGGTGTGCCCGAGTGAGGCAGAGAGCGGAAAATAACACAACTGAGCAAGCGCCTTACATATTGAAAACTAAAGAACTGTTATCAGACAAAAAAACATAAATAGAAAACAGAAACAAGACAACCAAGGAAAAATCAAATCAAATCGTAGACAGACTGTAGCTCCGAATAGATGATTAATGGTCAGTGATCCTCACAGTACTCACGATAACGTCCCAGATAAAACAGATCTTAAAGCAAATCTTGGTCACTGGTGGTGGATACTCTTCCAAACTCAGTGGTTACCTGGCACGGTCTATTCTGATAAGACGGAAGAAAGCACAGCACACTCTCGTCCCCTAATAATGACATGTGATCAATGAAGTGGTGGATGGCGCTAGGGATAATGCCCTTCAACAGAGCGCAAGGGCATGCAAGTCGAACCGCGAGATCAGATTCTCGGATGTTAGGTATTTCCCTACCCCTAACAATCTGATCTAGAGCCCACCGGAATGAAATAATGGGGATGCAGTGGGTGAGTGCAGATCACAGTGAAGAAAAAATTCAGCCCGTCGGCCAACATACAGAGCCAGAAGGCATCAGGCCCACTCAGTGACACTAGGAAGAGAGGAAGGTAGCGAAAGAGATGGAAAGCACTACATTCTAGATTAAACAGAGAAACAGGGAAGAGAAAATAACTTCGCTCTAACAATTTTCTCCAAAATTTCCATCACCGTCGATGTAATACTTATAGGACGAAACTCGGAGACCAAATGAGCGCCAGAGGCTTTTGGAATGCCAGTGACGAGCGCTTCCTTCCAAACTTCAGGTACTTCACTCAACGCAAAGGAGACATCAAGGATGTGTGCTCGTGGATTAGCGAGTGATGAGGCACATCGTTCGAAAGCCACAGGAGGAATACCGTCGTAATGATCAGTGGTGGAGGGCTTTAGGCATCTCAGTAGTTTGTAAATGTCGGAGGGGTAAAAGTAGATGCTGTCACAGGTGTAATGAGAAGCAAACTCAGACATAGTACATACCGCTACGGTATCACTCGAGTTTGAGAGAGCGCTTGTCACCTTTCATTTTGTTTCTTATATAACCACAAAGATGTTTCGCGGAAGACTGCGAAGCCAAACGACGCTCATAGTGGTCCCAGAATTTCTTAAGATGACAGATGATATCACGGCAAACTTTCTTGTAGCGAACATCAATCAATGGATTGACAGCGTTATCGAAGACATGCTGCTTTTGCGAAAGTAAGTTGCGTATATGAGCAGGAAATCTGAGACACGATGGGCCATAATATGTAAATGGCACGTGAGAGGCCAGCTTATCACAGATCACTAAGCAAAACCGACGATACAAATTAGATGCCGAGACATATCCATCGGAAGTTTGTAACCAGTCAAGCCTTACTGAAGCTACGGTTCAATGCGTTGAAGTCAGTTCCAAAAAAGTCGGGTCTAGGTAAGCATGTGGGCGTTCGCGAAAGAACTATGCCCACTAGGAATGAAACAGTGAGTGATCTGAGTGATCGGATGTCCCTGAAGAAGGGTTAATTGTCACATTGCCTACTACAGGGGAGGAAGAGAAAATTAGATCAAGAATGTTACCTACATGGGTAGGGTGTCGTACCAACTGGCTGAAGCCAGAACGGGTGAAAAATGTGAGAAAGTCGTTAGCAGTAGCACTGTAGGCAGTGGAATCATCCCGGTCAATTTTGAGATTGAAACCACCCAATGTGACAGTATTCTCTCTGAAAAGGGCGAAGGTAGTCAATAATTTAATAATATCGTCATCATTTTCTTTAACTGAATTTGGGGAACGATATACGAGTGCAAATCTTATGCAAAACATCGAGATGAGACATACTAATTCAATGCATAGTATACAGTAGCGCTCAAAGTCTTCGGTGGAACGGTTCTCCAGCCCTACTTTTCAGTCGTAACTCCTTTCCCACTGAATCTAATCATGCGGAATTTCTATATTTGGAGCGTGAATGTATGTGAGTATTTACCACTATCAACTCGCAATCTGATCACGTTCCAGATATTCCGAAGAGCATGAACTCAAAATCAACTGGAAATGCAGATGATGGCCCTTTCAGAATTATGGCCCCTTTTTTCTTTTTGTCATTCCTAAAGTGTACGAGCGGTAATGCCGAACTCAATAGATGAAAAAAACGCACATAAGGGGCGAATAAGTGCAGACGTCAACAACTTTAGTTTTAGCAAAATCTGCTACCACAACAAACGTCTTGCTTTATCTGTGGATATTGCAGCTTCGCCGTCAAATAGCGTTGAATAGGAAGAAATATGCTCTAGTTGAACATATCCAAATTTGACGTGATTTGGCCTACTAAGAAAAAAGTTATGAACGGAAAAGCGTCAAAGCATTTCACCGAAGACTTTCGAGCGCTACTGTATCTGCTTTCGAACACAAATCATTGACAAAAACGTGCATAAACAGATTGCTTCTAAAAATGCAGCAGACTCTTCCACACTTTGCTTTAATTCGATTCACCCCCGTGTGAAAGATACGGCAAGTTGCCCAAAATCTCGGAGTCTTCAATTCCAGAATTGAGCCATGTCTCTGTTAGAAAGATCATATCGGGTTTCCTCTCAGCAATTAGCAATTGAAGATTCATGGTTTCATCTACTAGGCTGCGACAATTTATCAGTAAGCAAGACAGTGAGGCACGCTGACTTTGCGGAGCTACGCGTTTACCTGCTTATTGCCGGGTGCGTTCTACTGACTCCTATTGGTCAACTTAGAAATATGTTTAAACTCACCGCGATAGACAATCCATTCTCTGGGACTATTGCCTTGGTTCCTGCTCTTGGCCAGCTATCTTAGTTCAAAGACTTTCCTTCTTTCCTCCGAAGTCATGCTCCTTCTAACAAATACGTCAGAAAAGCCAGAATATCGAAGATTACGCGCAATGAAACGAAGTAGGAAGTACTACCTTAACTAAACGAAGTTCGAAGGGGTTAGCTTTACCCATACGAAAAACTTCGCATGGTCTACACTCCGAGGCATCAAAAACATCGGAAACTTTCCTGTAGAGTTCGTGCTAGCGAGCGGATAACGATAAACTTGCTTCATTTTCCTTTAGCCCGGCTATCACGATGCTACGAGAACGCTTTTCTTGTTTTACGGAATACGCTCATTCTTTGGGTATCTTTTCGCTGAGCGCAGCGAGCATTCTAGCAATTATAGGACTTTATTGATTTCGATGGTGCGCAAAAAGAGATCATTGGCGGTCATTTTGTGAAGTCGCATTCAGATGTGACATCATTTGCGCTTACATTGGGATTTGGTATGGATCCAGATTCAGCAGCTGAATCATTGGTTCTTCAGGATTAGATTCACCAACTGAATCATGATATCCTTTGTTACTTCTACGAACCATGGCTGATCTGTTGGGAAGTTAATATGGACCAATCAATACACAAAAGTGAGACACGACCAAAGCCACAAATAGCACACCTGAAAAAACAGCACAGCAAAAGCGAAACGGGACCGATTACGATAGGAAAGACACGAGTGAAGTTAACAAGGCTATGAAGAAGTAGATTTGGTAAACTTTGAGACAAAAAACGAGATTGTGATAAGTGAAATGAGGAGAGCTAAGAAAACACCGCCGCTCACCGCGCCGACACGCGTGGCATTGAAGTGGAAGTTTCCAGAGTTAGCAATCTTCTGCATTTTTTAGCCTTGCACTTTCTGTTGAAAACGGAAATGAAGAAGAAACTTTGGCACACTATGGGTTGGGCATGAAATTTCTGCTTTATAACCCGCCAACTTCGTTGATTGCTGCTCAGATGCCTTTCTTTTCATGGGTCACCCAGAATCACGATCGACTCGCAAACGAATTATCTGAATGGTTCAGTCTTCGGTAATCCTAGCCTTTCTACTGTCTCCCACTTTGTTTTCAATTGATGTCGCTCCTGTATGTCGCTGAACAGCTTTCTGTACGATTAGTGTTGCATTCGCGAAAAATTTCACTGTGCTATTCAGCCTCTTGCATGCGAATGATTGCAAGTGGCATTGAATGAACTCCCACCTCATAAAAGATATCGATAAAACCACTCAAGTTATTATGCATAATGCAAATGCAGGCTGTTTACCAATATTGACTTCTACACAGGCATCTGTTCGACGCGATGCCGTCCAAAATGACTGCTAAATAAAAAAAAATCCAAGAATAAGGCGCTAACTGAATGGCCGTTGGCGAAAGTTCCAAAAGCTTTCATCAGAATAAAAAAAACCACGTGCGAAAGCGATGGTGACGTAGAGCTAACGTTTCCATTCGAAGCTCCATTGCAAGCAAACTAACATCACCTGGTTAGACTTCCCACTCTCCCCTGTTGCCGTCCTTTCTCTCACATACGATGCGATGGTGATGCATGTATCTTTGTAGATGATCTTTTCGAATAATATGATCAGATCTACAAAATGCACTTTTGATGGAAGCGGAGCGATCGTTTACTGAATGTAGGATTGGCTAAATCCGTTCTGTCTCGCTTGCCCCAGTCCTTCCGTTGTAGAACTGAGCCTCTAAGTTCCCCTCCATGTGGTCCCACTAAACGCCTACGTATTGGGATCAACAAGTTGGAAAAGGAGAAAGCTTATACAAAGTGTTGTTCCTAGCATATACCAACTTAGAAATACATCGTCAAGCCTTGATGTTTTTTGGCCAGCTTTAGTCCAGTTAGTTGGACATTCCTGACGATGGATTTCTTCTTTACCTATTTACTGTTGAAAATGCGCCTTCACTACAAAGTTCGCTGTCCTTGTCATTTGACCCTTCCTTCTATCTGCGACAACTCGATTGGTTGAGCTGATACTAGTCTCATAGAGGTTTTGGTTTATCCATGACAACTATCCATTCATTGCAGGAGCTGCTCTGGCATCTCTAGTCGGATAGGAGCTATATGCGTGACCAGCTGCTGTAGGGTATCATTGAACTATGCCAATAAGAAATGTTATCATTGACTTTGCAAAATTGGGCACTGTACGTAGCTATGTAGCCTGACCATTGGCCGTAGGTTTTTATGTTGTCAAGTTCTGTTATCCATTGACTCTTCTCGTATTCTGGTGTCCTTCGGCTACCTACAAGGACGTCTACAACTACTGCCGACCAGTGGACTTCAACGCAGACAAGAAAGACGATCAGTGCAGCAGGCAATCAGGCCGAAGAGGACCAAACACGCCGAGGAGGAGGATGGTCACGAAATAAAGTCGACGCTAAAAGTCTGCAGGCCATTTTGTATGCCCAGGCCACGGTACAGCGGCAGGTGTTCACCGAGCACCAGAAGGTGTTCGCTGAACTCGTCACTCGCATGGAAGGAATGGTGTTTAACTCACGTTCGACCGCTCTAGCGTCTCCAGCCAGCGAAGCCGAGTTTGCGATAAACTCGCTGTCAGCATACTTACCTGATTTTGTATACGATCCCAAAAATGGTTGCCTCCGAAGTCTGCTACAATCGCTATGAAGACGTCATATCCAAGGACGGCGCTGGGTGAAGCTTCGAAAGTCAACTACCCGTCTCCAAGCTCGATGCCATCACACACGCTCATTTCACAAGCCACATTCTTCCGAAAAGAGCTTAAGAGATACCGCTAACCGATACCGTAGCAATGCTGAGGAAATTTTTTGGACACAACCCGTCGGTTCTCTCGCATCGCTACGTATGTCTGGAAACTCAACGCAATGACGAGAACCTTCGCGGCTATACTGGACTGGTCAACCAGCAACACGCGATGGCCGAATTCAACGACATTAGCCCAGAACAGACGGAATGCCTCCTGTGGATATGCGGACTAGCCTCTTCCGATAATGCTTACATCTGGACCAGTGCCCTTAGCAAGATGACACACAAACCCCAAACCACATTGAAGGAATTGGCCGCGGAAATTTAGCAATTTCTCGACATTCGTCAAAATGCCACTCTCCCCGAGCGTTCTGCTCTACCACACATTAGGGCGTTGACTCTCGAAGCCGGAAATACGGCTCGCGTCGCCATGGTTCCTACGTGGAGCAAACTAGTGATTGAGGGTTAGTCCATTTGGAGAGAAGGCATGTCATGTCTGCGGGATTACCAGACACAAGCGAGGATTCTGCAAGAATTTCGAAGGGGAAGCAGAAACTTAGACGGGAATGCAAAACAGCCATCAATGTCGTCGTCGCCTCAATGCATAATGCTCCCATATACCGCATCTAACCCCTCCCCCAGTGCAGATCAATGGAAAGACAACGCATGCGGCTTGGCATCGGGGCCGATGCTACATTACTGAGCAATGCGGACTGGATCGCTATGGGTAGTCTGATAGTACAACCCTTCAAATCACTCTGAGGTCTGCCAATGACAACCCGGTCAATGTTTGAGGATGCCACGAGTGCAATTTTGTCATTTGGTCATCACACCAAACCGTCATTGCCGACACACCGTCATTACTGGGTCTCGACTGGATCATCCAGCACGAGCCTCTGTTTCGTCGCCTAACCGAGGGCTCAATCTGTAATGAATCCTCATCGACGCTCAATGCATTGAACCCTTCTTTCACTGCAAGCTTGAAAAAGAACTTCTCTACCGTATTCACGCTGGGATTAGGACGTTGCACCAAGTCGAAGGTCAAGCTCACTATGAAACCCAACGCCAAGGCTGTTTTCCAGAAGGCTTGCCCGTTCCATACGCCGCTGTTCAGAAGATTCCGACTGAAATCAATCGCCTTGTATCTACAGATGTTCTGACGCCCATCGACCACTCAGAATGGGTTGCTTCTATCGTTGCCGCTCAGGAAAAAAAGGTTCAGGACTGCCCTGCGCAGACTACTCGACTGGACTACTAATTGGAAGTGGACGGTGATTCGAAACAGGTGCTGAAGATCAATACGCACCGAGGACTCTTTCGTTTCATTCGCCTACAATTTGGAGTAAAGCCTGTTCCTAGCATCTTCCAGCAATGCATCGACGGTCTCATTGCCGGATTAGATGGAACTGCCGAATACCTCGACACTGATCACTGTCAGGACTATCGAGGATCAAAAAACTCGACTAGACCCTGGGTTCCAGCGAATCCAGGTCTACGGATTCCGTGTTCGTCTCGATAAGTGCAGATTTCTGCAAACTGAGACCAACTACCTTGGCTTCGTCATCAACGCGCAAGGGCGACGCCCTGACAAGGTCAGATTCGAACAAAAGATGCCACCTCATAGAGACATTAGCCAGTCAAGTGCTTTCCTCGGACTCATCATTTTCTACGGGAGCTCCAATCCTCCTTCGACAAAATGAAGGCAACACTGAGCTCGGATCTGCTGCTGGCTCACTTTTATCCGAATCTTCCGATCGTTGTGGCCGTCGACGCTTCTTACTATGGAATTGGAGCAACACCCTCACACCGTTTCTCCGATGGATCAGAGAAGGTCGTCTACCTTCCCAGACGCAACCTCACTCCAGCGCAGAGAAACTACAGCCAAGTTGGGAAGGAAGCTCTCGCTCTTATATTCGTAGTGCAGGAATTTCATCGCCTCGTCCACGGACGACACTTCACGCTCAAGGTCGATCATAAACCACTCGTTGCTATTTTTGACAACAAGAAAGAAGTACCTGTCTACAGTGTCAAACGTCTTCAGCTGTGGGCCAAAACATTACTCGTGATCTACAACTACAACTTCGTGATCGAGTATGTCAACACGAAGGTTTTTGGACGAGTGGACGCTCTCTCACGTCTCATAGCATTGCACTCATCAACACCGGAAAAATACTTCATCGCTAACGTAGATGTAGACGATGTAGACGCTAACGTAGACGTAACCGCAGAATTTATCGAGAACTGCCGTCACCTTCCGATATCTGCCGAAACAAACCGGACCGCCACAAGAGCTGATCATGTCATAAAGAAGGTCATCGACTACACCAAGTCTGGAAATTGGCCCACGGCTGATAGCAACTCTTTTTCTAACACCACTACCCGCCGAGATACTCTGACGACTATCGAAGGTTGCTTACTCATCGCATAGTGATACCAAGATCACTACAACGCCATGTACTCGCGACACTACACAAAGCTAATCCTGTACAGACAAGAGTGAAGGTGTCATCACGAACCTACGTCCACTTGGCCAACACTGGACACTGACATTGAACAACTTTTCAGGAAGTGTAGCAAATGTGCTTCAGTGGCGAAGGATCCCGTCAAAGGCGAGTATATTCTTGGCCAAACTCTCCATGGATCCGAGTGCACGCTGACTTTGCAGGGCCCATGAGCCGACGATTTTATCTGATACTTGTGGATGCGTATTCCAAATGGCCTGAAATCGTCCAGATGTCATCGATATCTTCAAGTTCGACTATACGAGTCTTGAAGGACATCTTCGCTAGGTTCGAGACCCCTACGACTCTTGTCACGGATAACGAAACGCAGTTTACATCTTCGCAGTTCGCCCTATTCTGCCGTTCCCAAGGAATTACACGCACTCGTTTGCCGCCGTGCCATCCTCAGAGCAGCGGACAGGCTCAACGCTTTATGGTTACCTTCCAAACGAGGACTCGCCAAATTAAAGGGGGAGGAACTGACAGTCGACGCTCTCCAAACGTTCTAACGGCTTACCGCTCCACTCCATGCCTGTCTGCATCGGATCAACGGTCGGCTCACCTGCCGAGGTCTTTCTGTGACGCCGACTGCAAACCGATCTTGATCTGATGTTACCTCAAGAAGACGTCGCTGATGGACCGCGAGGCATCACAATGGAAACGCAATTCCACCGAAAAAATGGAGCACTACGTCACAAGTTTGAATTCAATGACACTATCTAGGAATACCGAGGAACAAAGTAGTCTTGGGCTCCGGTTATCATCGTTCGATGTGTGAAAACACAACTTGCCTCGTGCGTTGTGGAAATCTGCCATATGCCCGACACGTGAACCAGCTGCGACCTAGAAACGACACATCCACGACAATAAGCGCAAACACTCCTTTGGACGTATTCGATCTACCACTGTTCGATTGTGTGAGCGAAGATTGTGCGCCGCAGACGGCCCACCACGACAATCGCAACGCAATCGACGACCGCAGTGCCGACTCCAGCAGGATCCTAGGAGGTTCCGGTACGATACAACTCAAGTGTGGAGGTGTTGTATGGTATTATCGATCTATGTCAATAAGACACGTTGTCAGACTTTGCGAAAATGCGCATTGCACGTAGCTATACCTGACCAGTACCCAGATGTCAAGTTCTGTAAACCAATAAATCTTCTCGTAACCTGGTGTCCTCCGGCTGCCTACAAGGACGCCTACAACATTAGCTAATCGCCCTGTTCGACTTTTTGCATTAGGGAAGTCCAGCCCTCACTTCTCAACGACCTCATTCCGGCTAATCAAAGCTGCTTTTGATGATTTTTGCCTACAGGCCGGCTCTTGCTGCCCTAGAAACTTTCCTCTGTCTTGGAAAACCCTGGACTATAAAGGACATATCTGAGTGTATTGGAGCCTTCACAGTCTGGCTCATGCTACCGTCAGCGGCTTGCTCTCCTTCCAGGTATCGAGAGTCCTATACTCTCTAATTGGCTCCAATGCAAGCTACGATTGGCTCTTACACTCTCTAGTGTTGAGAAGCATCGTCTCCTTCACCTTCAGCCTTTGTCCATTCATAGCATGTTCAGGTGATTCTGCAGCTTGCCTCCAAAATCTTTCAACTCGTAGCTGGCAAAGCGATGCCATCAGCATGACAGCATGAAGGATGCTCTCAATGGCCTATCCGCTGGTTCTTCGGTGTTTTGATTATCACTTGGAAGGATAATGGGCCTGATGGTGACCAGTGGTGAACCATTCAAGCCGATTATCATTATATTTATTTAGTGGTGACACTCACTGCTTTTGTTCAACCTCGCTAGGTGGTTCTAAGATTTAGTTCCATCGCATATGTCCTTGACTAGGTAGTTAAGTGCTGCGGTATGTTCCGTTCTCGGAGGGCTTTCCAGAGCATTATCCACAATAGGTGGTCAAACCCTTTTCCCTGTCCGAAGAGACTAGGTAGCAGGGTCCACGCTTTCTCTTTACCAACTGCTTAACTATGAAGGTTGTATACGTTGCACACTATTGGGTTCTAACTGATCCTCTCGTGTTTAGAAAAGCCCCATCAATCTTATGTAACCTGACCGTTCGTTCAGTTCGATGGAATGCAAAACCATGGAAATCGATCCTGTGATGCTTGACACACTTTCGTCGAATCTCTCTCTATTCGTGGTATTCTTCGGTGAGCAGTTGCCAACGCAAGGAACCGGAGAAGCCGGGTGATCCATGTGATCTCTAGAAGCACAAGCACCTTTTAAGCTACCTTTGGTATTTGTAGACTGTCAGTTGAAAGATTGTCAGTTAATTCAATCAAATTTACTACGTTCATTTTCCCTATTGCTTGACTGATCGCGATCTCTTTTGGAGCGACATGAGCTCAACCGACACCTACACGCCGAGTATGTCCTCATCTTGGAACTCTTCGTCCAGAGTCCTTTGATGTGATTCCTCCGACCTGCGCTTGAGCTAGGCTGGCTTCATTTGAACGGCACTGTCGACCATCACTAATCCGATGTCAGGCTTTATTCGAGGCAGAACACTCCGCTTCTTTTTCATTAAGCGCCTCGTGTGAGCGTCCGGTTGTTATCTTCGCTACGATTGCCTTGGAGAGCCTCTTGCACTTTTATCGTCAGCTAGGTTCTTTGATCCTCAAGATTTTCGCAAGCAGCTGTACGATAAGACTTCATCGTTCTACAACCATACTTCTAGCTACTAAAATGTCTTCTCTTCCTCTGTCTCTTCTAGCAACTCGAACGCAAGCTTTTGACCTAACCAGCATGCCGTATATCAATCACATCTACTTGCACATTCGCGTAAAAGCTGCTGCTGTAATGCCATAATATTAGG